AAATAGATACCTGTACACATAAAACAACAACTCTCCCCCATCCTTCTGCCAACTCCTAGTAACCATTGTTTTACTTTCTGTCTTTGTAATTCGACTATTCCAAGTATCTTATACAAGTGGAATTGTACAATATTTGTCTTTTTGTGACAAATATTTGTCCTTTTGTGTCCTTTTGTGGCTTATTTCACTAAACATAATGCCTTTGAGGTTTATCCATGTTGTAGTATGTTTCAGAATTTTATACCTTTGTAAAGCTGAATTATATTCCATTGTATGTATATACCACATTTTGTTTATTTGTTTATCTGTTGATGGACATTGGGTTGGTTCCACTTTTTGGCTATTGTGAATAATACCTCTCTAAACGTAGGTGTACAAATGTCCCTCAAGACCTTGCTTTCAATTCTTTCAAATATATACCTAGAAGTGAATTGATGCATCATTTAGTAATTTTATATTTAATTTTTTGAAGAACCACCATATTGTTTTCTACAGTGCCTGTACTATTATTTTCCCCCAAGGGTTCCAATTTTTCCACATCCTCACCAATGCTTGTTATTTTCCATTTTTTGATAATAGCCATCCCAATGGGTGTGAAGTGGTATCTCATTGTGGTTTTGATTTGCCTGATGGCCAGTGATGTTGAGCATGTTTTCATATGCTAATTTTCCATTTGTATCTCTTCTTCAGAGAAATGCCTATTTGAGTCTTTTGCCCACTTTTTGAATTGGGTTGTTTTGTTCTTTTGCTGTTGAGTGGTAAGATTTCTTTATATCTTCTGGATATTAATCCCTTATCAGATATATAATTTGCAAATGTTTTTTTTCATTCTGTAAGTTGCCTTTTTACTTTCTTGATCATGTCCTTTGATACACAAAAGTTGAAACTATTTTTTTTTTAATGGGGAAATACAGAGAAACTGTGCCAATTAGTAGGTAAGGCCACAGGTGAACACATTATTGTTGTTGTTGTTCTTCCATGTCCACTCATGAGAAGTGTTTAGGCAGAGCCACAAGGAAAGAGTAAGTGGGGGTGGAACTAGCCTGGAATTCCATATCACTATGATCTACTCTCCACATGATTAATTTATTGTTCCATCTAGAAGGGGAACTGAAGATGAAAAGATGTCATCAGGAAACCAAAGCTCTGAACTGATACTGAAGTTGGTACCAGAAGAGAAGTTGCACAAAACAGAACTTCGATGGTAACATGGAGATACTTTCAGAGTAGTTTATTGGGTGGTAGTAGAATAGAGAGCAAAAAATTTTCTCTCCATGTTCTTAGGTTAAATTCTAATAGCTCATGAAACTCAGAGGCAAGGCAACTTATTAAAGTCTCCTTTAGACCTTGAGGATTGTGGTCCTACTGTGGTCTAGATATCAATTTCAAGGATTGCGGAACAGAAGCGCTGCAGACTGAATAAGGTTTAGATAGAAGAACGTGAGTCTCAATTCCAGTTACCCAGGGTCAGTACACAAGGAAACTTAGAGCTTTTCTAGCATTCTGCTTCAGGAAGCCCTTTCTGACTATAGCAGGATCTCCAAGACGATTGATACCTGAGTCTAAGAATAGACCCTAACCTTCGTTGAACTACATTAACAATTAAATCTTCATCTACACTGAATTTATACATTGGGGATATGGTTAAAGTTAGTACTTTGGCAAAAACTTAGACCCTAAAAATTGGAATGGGAGTATTTGTAATAAGCCAGAGATGAGGATATCTGTCACCTGAGTTTCTTGCAAACACTTTTCACTATATGCTCTATATGTCCCTGGATGGACAAGCCTTACAAATCTTCAAGAGAAAAAGTAGCATAGGGGAGGAGAATAAAGACCCTGGCCACTAAGGCCAGAAAGAAGAATTCCTAGGGTTGTATTTTGAGAATGAGTAGAGATTTTGGACACAGCATCCTCTCGATAAGAGGAAACTTCTCCACTTAGCTCCCCATTGTCATGAGTGTGACAACTATGGTGTGGCTGAGAATGAAAAGAACTCTAATGCTTTGGTGCCCACCTGGGTTTAGTAAGGGACGCCACTCGCCTAAGCATAAACTAGAGGAAGGGAATGCTCTTTAATGACACCATGAAGGCCTAGATATCTGAGATAAATTTCTCGTGTGACTGTGTAGAAATATTGGTTGTGGCCATGAATTTTCAGGCAACAAGGATTGAAATGATATCAGTATCAGGAGGTTTCTAAGTTGCTGTTTTAGCAAAAAGGGCAAGACTGATTCACATTTATGTGTCAACAGTCCTGAGGACATTTAGAAATATAGGAAGAAGATATACAAGGGAAAAGATTGAATTTTTTGCTAGTTAAATACTTGGGGTCTCTGAGAATAAAAATCATTTGAATTAATGGAAATGTGACCACATTATATTCACAGTCTTGTGAAATTTGGGATTCATAGTTTAAGAATTAAATAGAAAAATCCCATCCATTTTGTCTGTGAATTAAGAAAAGGAAGTAATTATTTTATTACAATAGAAGAATACCTAAGATTATATTTTTAGAATTATTATTCTAACTATCTGACTTGCCTGAATTGTCCACTTTTCCCTCTATTGTTATTGGTGTTCGTGAATGGATCAAGTTACACATATGAATCAAGGTTTCTCATTCTTTGGGCCTCGAAGACATGCCATTTTGGTAATGGCTGCTTTGACATCCTTGTTCCTCAGTGTGTAAATGAGAGGGTTGAGAACAGGTGTGAGAATAGCATACACCACATTGCCCATGATGTGGAAGTCCAGGGGCAGGTCAGCCCTATAGGCCACATAGGCAATCGCAATGGATGAGTAGTAGGTGCCAACCACCAGCAGGTGAGAGCTGCAGGTGGAGAAGGCTTTTGAGCGTCCTTCTCTGGATCTGATGCGAAGCACTGAGGCCAGGATGTGGGCATAGGAGAGAAGCACCAGGAGCAGGGGCGTGAATGACACCACACTGTGTGGTGTCAGAGCAGGAGGCCTGGACCACAGCCAAGTGGTCACAAAAGCAGTGGTAGATGTGAGCAATGTTGTTAAAAGCCATTTGGGATGTCTGCACCACTGCTGCGATGGGCAGGAGAAGGGCAGTGAGCCAGGCACTGGCTGCCAGTATAGCATTGTTCTGTGGGGTCATGTGGACAGGGTAGTGCAGTGGACGGCAGATCGCCACATAACGATCATAGGCCATGACCACCAGGGTGAAGGCTTCTGAGCAGGAGAAGCTGTGGAAGAGGTACATCTGCAGGAAACAGGCAGGGAAGCTGAGGAAACGGTCCCCAAGTAAGAGTAGGGACAACATCTTGGGGATGGTGGTTGTGGTGAAAAGGATGTCCAAGACAGAGAGGTTGATCAGGAAGAAGTACATGGGCTTGTGGAGGCTGGGCTCTACCACCACAGCCACCAGGATCAGGGTGTTACCTACCAGGATGAGCAGATAGAGGAGGAGAAAGACAAAGAAGACAGGAAGGAAGAGGGATTTTGGCAGAGAGGGGATGCCCATAAGGTAGAAGATGATTGAGGAGTCCTCTGATCCATTACAGGCTGTAGTCTGCATGGTAGGTTAAGCTAGATGCTCAGGAGGTGGGTATTGAAAACAACTGGGAACATTCACATCTGGAAAACAGAACAATTAGTGATTCTGGAATAAGAATTACATAATGACCACTGTATAATTAGTGTAACCACATTTATTTACAACTGGCAGATGACCGGCCCTGTCTTCATCCTATCCCTCTTTCCTTTTTTAATCAAGTATGGAAAAAGTTCCTATGAAATACAAAACCGCATGTTACATGCTGGGTATATAGTAGATAAGCTGAACAGGACAGAGAAGGTCTCCAACCTCATGTACCTGAAATTCTAGTGGTCGAGAAATACATTAAGCAATGAATCACATAATTATTTAATTGCAATTGTGGTAAGTGTTATAGAAGAACTTCTGCGGGTTCTCTTTTCCATGTCCCATATGATCCTTTGGGCGGTATCGGATATCTTAAACCAGGCCTCTAAACTCCTTTCTCTTCAGGCATTTGCTTTAAGTTTTTTTTAAAGTGACATCTTTGTCACCACGTTGCTAAGGAGGGCTGATTTCTCCGAGGGTTACAGTAACATGCTGTTTTTCCATCATAAATATTAAGCAGGGAACGGCTCCTTTCTCTCTTGTTTGCTTGGTGTAGTGGTTCTGTTGTCTCCATCTAAGTTGAGTACTCTGCATACTGTCCCTGGGTGTGGGGCTCTTTGTCATGTTAAAGTGAAGGAAGTGACACTGAAAATGTTTCTGGTGGGAAGTTATTCTTGATTGGAGTGTGAACCTATAATGGTCTCCCACTGCTGGGTTGCAACAGAGAATCCAAGACCGTATCTGTGTTACTACATTGAACTAACTTGCCTCTTTACTGGCTGCTGCAGCTCAGCAAGTGTTCCTGTTTAACCATTGCATGCCCACCACCCAGCAGGCTTCCCTAGTTCCTGCCCAGAAGTTGTTATGTGACCTGAGAAGCCTTGAGAGGCATGGCTGATAGAGAGGAACTGAAGATCTGCTTGCAGTAGCTACTCAAAAGCCAAAGAACGCCTCCCAGAGGAGTCAGATGGGAGTGTTTTTAATCCACAGACCTGGGACGTTTTAGCTAACAGAAATACTGTCTTTATCCTATGTCTGCACTTTAGAATTGTTCCTCTGACTAAGTGACCACCCCCAGGCAAGTCCATGTTGACAATGGTATGACTGCCTTATTGATCCTGATGATTCCATGAGCAATGTCCCTATTATTTTACTAGTCATTTCTACTTTCTCTCTCTTCTCATAATAGCTCTGATGCATAAAATCACCATTGTAAAAACCGGAAAAGTATTTTTTATTTTCAAGGCCAACCAACTCCCCACACCCCACCCCTGAACACCAGAGACTGAGCAGAGACTTTCTCAGGTGCCACAAGTATGGTTGTAAACACCCAAATGCAGGTTTTGTTTCCCCGGACAGGACTCTTTCTTCTATGCCACATTTCCTGGAGAATCCAGAAGTTTAATTTACAGGGGAGAAAATATTCAGACCAAAGTCTTCTATTTCTCTTTCTGTTTCTTCATTGATAATATCAGATGAATCTATATTTCAGATTTTTATCTGAGTCTCTATAGGGTAAGTGCTAAATTAAGAATTGGTATCTGGCAGTGCAAATCCTTGTTTGAAATAATGTTCCAGAAGTCAGCCTCCAAGACCTAGTAAAAGAGTAAATCTACTTTATGCCAAGTTGAAGGCATTATTCCTTAGTTAACCGAACCCCATCAAACAAGTTCAATCACCAGGTTTTTTTCTTACACCCAAAGGAATGTGAACTGCACTGCCCTGGACATCTCTGTTAGGCAGTCATGGCTGACAGCCCCAGGTGAGGCAGAGCAGGGAATTTGAAGGGCAGAAATGCAGGGGGTTGAAGCCAGAGGGGTCCTAAGGGGCCATCAAGTCCAGCTGCCCCTCTCCTGCCTCCTCTGTCCCACTGCTTTGCAGATGGAGGTAGGGATGCTGAGACCTGGGTGGAGAGGAGGCACATGCTTTTCACTGCCAGGCGGTGCTGGACTATTCGATAGGAAGACCAGGCATGTGGTGGGTCACCACAAAGCAGGGGCATCAAAACTACTTCCTGAAACAATTTACTCTTTGATATTTCAAAGCACCATTCTTGTTTTATTTTGAATTATATACTACATCTGGGTGATGCAGCCCTGTGTTTAAGGCCTAAAGGGTGCTCTTTCTCAGGGCACAGAACTTGTCGCAGTAGGTTCTCCCCATCAAGATTGTCTGTGAACCTATTATAGTGCTGGTGGGGACAGAGGAAAAACAAACAAACAAATAAACAAACAACAACAAAAAACCCCAATCACCTGAATGTCCAACCTGACATCACGTGTACTTTATGTTCATCATCACTTCTCATCTAGCCCTGCCACAGAGTGGTTATGCCCCTTCAACAAATGAGAAACTGGAGATTAGAGAATGACAGGCTATTATTCAAAGCCACAGCTGGTGAGGAGTGAGAGCAGAGGTTGTTCTAGAGCCAGACTGCTGTAAGGGACTGAGCCCTGCTTGGCAACCGAGAGTCCTGGCTCTTGGACCAGCTCTGCCACTTGCTGCGGTGACTTTGGGCCCCTGAACCTTGGTTTTCTCATCTATGCAGTGAGATGCATAGAGAAAAAGATTTCTGAGGTGTTTCCAATTCAATGAGCCCATTTAAAGTGTCCCCTCCGTGTTTAGCAGAGCAAATGCCACATGGTCCCTGTCTCTAAGGGAGAGGGCAATGGCTCATCTACCTAGTGAGTACCTGCTGCCAGTCGGGTTCTTTACCTTTACTCTGTCACAGGGACCTTTGAGGTTAAGTGTATGCACTTGTGTGTCAGAAAGGACTGGATTGCAATCCCAGCTCCTACCTCCAACTGTGTGACTTTGGGCAAGTCACTTCCCCTTTCTGAGCCCTTTTCCCTCTTTGTGATCTCCTGGGGTTACTCTTAGTCTTTATGGAGAGAATGCTTGGACAAAGCTTACATGAGAGCCTGGGACATGTAAGAGCACAAAGTTTGCTAGTATTTTCAGTGGTTACCACTGTCATCAGTCTTGCCTTCTTGTGGGAAGCCCTTGGCCGAGATTATTTGAATCTTATCTGTGAATGTACTCCCTTGCCCAGACCTACCTGGATATTTGATCCAAGGTTCCACAGCCTATGTATGCACAGCCATCATGGGTCTTGGTTGCCTGCCTCTTGTGCACACCCAACCAGTCTTCCTGATCCCTGGCCCAGATTTATAGGCTCTGGCCTCCCTGTGCCTGTCTCCCTACCCCAGCTTTCTCTTCCTATCTCTGGGCACTCCATCCCTAGCCCTTCTCACCTGTTAAGCCTGGTCCACAATGGTGTTTCCTGTGAGGTCTCTGTGCAAAGCCTTGTTGAAGGATGAGTCATGGCCCATGAAATCCTTAGCCCCTCCTGTAGGGAGGCCCCCTGGGGTGCTTCCCTCCAGACGGTGCTCCCATTACGCACCACATCCACCATCCCTCAGGGATCAACTCTCTGGCATCTCCTAGAGGGTGGAAGGATGTCCCTAGGCTTTGCCGATAATGAGGAGAGCATTGTTAATAGCCCTCGAAGGCTCAGCACTTTACTCCAATGGCGTATCCTTCATTCTCATTGTGAGTCTGACTGATATCCCTGGAATGGATCATCTTGTCTACCTGACTTTTTCCACTCTTGCTGATTTTAGAGAGCTTTTTAGACACTCTTTGGTAAATAGTTACCAAATATCTTCACAGTTTGTGCCCATTCTGAGAGATCTAATACATTAACTCTTCTCTAGACCTCCTCTTTATCAATCTTATCTTGTTATTTCCAAGTTCTTTCATATCCCAGCAAAACCATTAACTATTGCCCATAAACCTGCATAGATCCATACCTCTGCCCATTTTACCTTCTAAATGAGGTGAGCCTACCAGGCAAAAAGCCAGAGGCAGTGCCCAAGATTCTGCCCACTGACAGGATTTACTTTCTTATTGATCCTTCTGTGACCTCCTGAATGGGGTTATAATGCAGCAGCAGTCCACTTTGGGCTGGTCTCAGCATATTTTGAAGAACTATCTGTAAATCAGGACTAAATTTTTTTCTTCTTGAGAAAATCGTTTATAGGAAATTTCCCATGAGGCTGTATGTTAGAGCTGATGGGAAGGTGTCTATGTAGCAAGATCGTGTGTAATGGGAGTCTGAGCCACCTGCTCATGCAATTTACTTGTGCCTTCATGAACTGCTTGAGCTAATATGACTTTATTACTTGCAAGTGATGATAGACTGTTTCTGTACATATCCAATTTTATATTTTATTTATTCAAATTAATACCCAATACATAAGCACAGCTCAGGACACATAGTTATTAAGTGTTCCCTGGTTATTAAGTCTGCACTAGGACCAGAAACTATTTCTCAAAAGGAGGATAGTTATCTATAGAAAAAGCACGAATGAGTCCACTCTAAAATCCTAGGACCTGCACTGTGATTCTGCTATTAATAGTGTATGTTACCTCAAACATTCAAAGAGGACTTTAAAGTTTCAGCTATGACAGAATGGCTCATTTGGAACTAGACATCCTGCCAAAGACAACTGTAAAACCTGGGCAATATATGTAATACAATTGTTTGAAGGCTTCAGAGAGCAACCAAAGTCAGACCTTGAAGAACTGCAGTCCTTGAGAGAAGGAAGGCTCATGAGGTGAGTTTCACAGAACCCCAGCTTTTTACCTGAGGGCATTTCTCAATTTGCAGGACTAGAGAATAAAGCTCAGTTAGAAAAGAGAAGTCTTACTAGGTTGAGGGGATACACAGTTGGAATCTGGGTAAGCAAAGTAGCTGGAACCTGAGGGGCAAAATCGGTACTGCAGAGACAGAACATCAAAATCCGCATATAAATTCCCTTCAAGTCCTTGACCAACTCCTAAATTGTGCATGGGTAAGGAAGGACTTAGAGAAACCAGAAAAGTCTACGGCCCCTGAATATGTCCGATCTCATTTGATCTTGGAAGCTAAG